TTACCACACTGGAACATGAAGCCGCCATTCTCTGGGTTTCCAGAACCTTCGTGCCTCCTGCTTCCCACCAGCTACACGGAAACTCTGAGGTCCTAGTAGCTATCCAAGTGTTCCCTCTCATTCTCACTAGCCTCCCTGTCCCTGAGGTCCACCTTGCTCTCACCAGGCCACCCTAGGCATCCTAAAGGGCGCCTCTGACTCTCCCGCTATCCCTGCCCATGCATCCAGCCCCTCCTCTGCTCGCTGCTACCCACAAGAGCCCTTTTCACATCCCTCTGAACCTGGGCAGTAGTCACCTCGCTTCCTGTAGGGACCCCACCACAGCATGCTGCAGTGGGCAAGAACCAAGCCCATCTTCTTTGAGGCACATGATGCGTGGCACACATTAGGGACTCAGTACCAAACTGCAGAATGAAGGAACTCCTGAGACTCTCTGGGGATGGGCATACTGTCCGCAGCAGGCTCTGCTCAAGTGCTGATCCTTCTCCACTTTGGGGATTTATTTAAATGCTGGTTCTCACCGCATCACTCCAGGGAACCCCTAGGTAAACCATCTTCCCTGTGCCAGCACTTCAACCAAAATAGAAGATCGCAAGACTGTTCTAAGGAATAAGGACTCGCCACTGGATATCTGCTCTTTTATCAACTTTATTTATCTATTTAGTTATTCATTTATTTTTTTGAGACATGGTCTTATGTAGTTCAGGCTGGCCTCTAACTTACTATATAGCCAAGGATGTCCTTGAACTTCTGAACCTCTCACATCTACCTTCCTAGTGCAGAATTCCAGGTGTGGATCACAGTGCCTGGTTTAGGTGGTGCTGGGGATGAAACCAGGGCCAGGTACACCAACAGAGCTACACACACACATACACACACACACACACACACACACACACACACACACACACACACACCCCTCAACTCTTTTCTTGAGACAGAATCTCACTAAATTTCCCAGGCTGGCCATGATTTTATGATCTCCCTGCCTCAGCTCCAGAGTGCTAGGACTGCAGGAATGTGCCAACACAGACTTCCAAAAGATATTCTCTAATATTTCCTAATAAAGGCAAGTTAACTATGGTCTCCTCAGACAATCCACATTCAACAGAAAGACAGGATAGCTTACTGACCTTGCATTATAACAAGGAAGGGTGGCGTGACGGGTCCACAGGGCATTAAGATTCATGAGTTCAGAGGCTGTGACACCCAGAAGAACCAGAGCCAGGCTATGTTCTGGAACTATTTTTGCCTGACTTTGGTTATTTCTTCTTTCAGAAAATAATAATGGGAACCCTACTTGTGGGGTTACTAGACCACAGACCACACCAGACTACAGTCTCGGGCAGTATCTGGGCCCATGTGCACTTAGTAAAAACACCTGATGTGTGTTTATGTGGCTTGTGGTGGGGTGGGCGGAGAAGGGTGCTCAGCAAATGTTTGTGGAATGAATGGACAGCATATTCTAGCCAAAGTGGACAGTCTTCCCTACCCATGAGTGTGGGTCACCACCGGGCCAGGGCCAAGGCAGGGCCACAGCACACACGGGCAGGCATCCCATTGGAGCAGACGGAGTGGACCTGGCTGTGAAGTTAGCGTTGCTAAGAAGTGTCCACCCTCTTGAAATGGCAGCTGGTTACAGCAGTTGGAAGAATTGTGCTGTTTGAAGGATGTTTAAAGGTTGATGCCCCAAGATAAGGAAACTAATAACAGCTAGTAATTCTTGAGCACTTAACTGTATACACACCAGGTGTTGGTCCATTTATCAGACACAAGTTCCCATGGCAATCTCATGCTGTTGATACCTGAGACCCATACTTCAAACAAGGAGAGCACTGCGGGTAGAGGCGAGAAGGCTTGCCTTCTTCTGGAGCAGGAACTGCTCCAGAATGTGAGTGAGGCTCAGGCTCCAAAGCTCACACTCAAATACCACACAGGTTAGAATTACTAGCATGACTATCAGCTCCCCTGGATGGCAAGGTACCCAAGTCTACATGGATGACGGTTGTGAGGGGTCTCATGAGAGCAGAGGCTCTCAGGGGAGTCGGGAGGGAGCTGTCTGTGCTCTCAGTTGGTGGGAAGGAAATAATTCTTCATCCAAAACCTCCATTTGTAGCATCCCACTGGGAAAGGCAAACAAGACCCACAAGCCGGAAGCTGTCAACCCGAGGACTGGAAAAACAGACATCTGTTATTTGTATTTATTTAGAGACTGGGCCTCACTCTGTAGCCTGGACAACCTCAAACTTATGGCAATCCTCCTGCGCCAGCCCCTTGAGTGCTGTGATTACAGAGGTGAGTTGCCACCCCTGGCTCTGCTAATTTTAAACGTGAAACTTGCCTCAGCCTAGACCAGATCCTTCTCTGCCATTTTCAGTCTTAGGCGGCTACACCTCCTCACTCTCCTGACGCTCACCCTGCCTACTCCTATTCATTTCTTCAACTGCTAAGTTTATAAAATGGAATGTTTCCCACAAAGCCAGGCCACAGTCTTTGAGGAACTGGGGTGTTTCTCTGTGTTAGGATCCCTTGGCATGAATACAGAAAATATGAAATGCACAGGTCCTCTTATTCTTAAGGGGACATGTTCTAGAACCCTCTACAAGATAATGGAAACCATAGGTACACTGACCCCTATATGCACTATATTGTATTTTTCTATAAATACACCCTTAGGCTAAATTTTAAGTTATGAATATGGCACAGTAAGGGATTAGCCAGAATGAAAAAATTGTAACCATAGACTGAAATAAAAGTTATTTAAAACTTAGGATTATTTTTCTGGAATTTCCACTTAATATTTTCTGACCTCACTTGTCCATGGGTTACTGAAGCCACAGTAGCTGAAACGGAGGGAAGTTAAGCCTCAGAGAAGAGGGGACAGCTGCATTCTACAGGAGAGGGATAGCTAACTGGGCAAAATGACTCATGCCTTGCATCCCAGCACTAGGGAGGCAGAGGCAGGAGGATCTCTGTGCGTTCAAGGTCAGCCTGGTCTACATAGGGATTTCCAGGGCCGTTAGAAATACATAACAGAGACATTGTCTCAAAAAGCCAAGAAAGAGAGAGGGAGGAAGGGAGAGAGGGAGTGAAGAGGGAGGGGGAGAGGGAGATAGAGAGGGTAGTGGGGAGGGAGAGAGACAGGAAGGGGAGATGACAGGAAAGACAGGGTGCCAGAACACTAGGACACTGTCTCAATTTTTTTTCATTATAAGTTTCCCCATCCCAACCCTACTACTTTCAATATCTAAGGCCCTGTCACCTGGCCCCTAAAACAGCATCGGCCCATTCTGCCCTAATGACTTTGCCCAAATGCTCCTGCAAAGACCCTTGAAATCCAGGAGGTGTTTTTTCATTAAAACAAGAGGTATCTAACCATGATCTCCACAGAAGCACCTGCAGTAACCTTCTGGAAGTGCCGTAGCAGGCTCCTGTCACACACTCCCTCCCAGGGGGATGAATACACAGTGAACAGCACAAGCAAGGGCCCTTTGCTCAAGCCCTGGGTACTGCATTAGTACAGTTTCATCCTGGGGTTTGGCTGGGAGGAAAGGAGACCTCCTCCTCCTCCCCCTTCTCCTCCCCCTCCTCCTCCTCCTCCTCCTCCCCCTCTCCTCCCCCTCTCCTCCCCCTCCTCCTCCTCCCCCTTTCCCCCCACTCCTCCTTCTCCTCCCCCGTGTTACTTGCCAGCTAAATAGGATTGTACCTGAATGAATTTTAAAAGTGACAGTACATCTGGGAATTTAAGATATCCTATTGGGTCTTAATTCTTGGAACCGAAATCTTTGTGTTAAGAACAAGAAATGCTTTAAGTTCTATGAAAAAAACACAGCACTATTGTTGTACCTCAGTGAAAGAACAGCTTAAACAGATAAGGGACGGCAGAGCCTTGCTCTTACTGGGGCGTCCAACATTTTGAGACTGTGACACGGCCCTTGTCATTTCTGTCAGGCCATCTTCACAGCTCTCCACATAGGTAGCCAGTTGGATACAGGTCGGACATGCCTGTGGCCTAGCTGATTCCTCTGGTGTGGAGTTAGGCCTGAGCGTTCACTTATACTAGAAGTATCTATTTGGCCTGCCCTGATGCTCCAAGCCTGGAGTGAGATAGACACCTTGGTCTCTTCCAGGCCAGCAGTACCCATCAACTCAGCTAACCCTGAACTCCCTGTCCCCACCCAGGGAGACATAGCCACAAGCATAATTATATGTTCTTTCATGAAGTGCCACAGGGCTGATGGATTCCCGCTCATTGGCCATTCAAAGTTATTATCAATCCAGCATCTCCCTCCACAGTATTCCACACAAGAAACAAACTACCAAGAACAGGTTTGTGGTTTGATTTTTTTTTTTTTTAAGATACCATTTACCCAGGATGTCGCCTTCATCCATCCCCCCCTCTCTATAAAAATAAGCTCTCCGCTGGGTTTAGGGTTCAGGCGGTCACACAAACAGTGTTTCTGGTCACAGTATGTTGAACTCCAGAGCAGGAACCCCTCCCCCAGGCGACATCCCACCACTGTAGGACGGACGGCTTCTCTTTGGTACTGTACTTCCAAGTAATAGCCCAGCTCGAAGGGAGATGCTGGGTGCCCTAGCTTCTGTAAAATACGTGTGATAATAACAGTAGCGTAACATCTGGAGAGAAAGTAGCAACTCCATGAGGAGCCATCTTGCACCCTGCTATCCCATCTGGATGTAAGCTCCCATTGCTTAATTAGCCTTATAATAGTCGCTTCATTTTGCAAAAATCTGGGAGTCCCTTTAACAGCATTTGGAAGGATTTACTTACCCACTTGGCACTGTGGGGAAACTGACGAAATTTAACTTCGGAGCATTGGGCAGTAGGCCTGCCCAAAAGGATTCAATTCCACAAACGACCTATTACTGTTACTAATCACCATCATCCTAGCTCACCGCTTTGGTCAGATCCTCCCCTCTCCACCCCAGCCGGCCCCGGACACCGGTTGCGCTGCAGGCAGCCAGCGCTCAGCGCTCACCTGGTCCCCTCCGGGAAGGCGCTGCGGGACCACGCGGAACAAGATGCAGAGGGGCAGCGCGGCGAGCGCTGAGTAACCCCAGATGAAAGCCAGCAGCGCTGCCTGCGCCCGCCGACCCGGGCCACTCAATCCGCGCTGAAGGCGCACGATGCACACCATGCGCTCCAGGCTGACCGCTGCCAGCGTCAGGATCGTGACGCTGCCGCTCATGGTCATCACGTAGAAGAGCAGGTGGCAGACGATGGGGCCCAGCAGCCAGGCCTCGGTCCAGCGTACAACGAGCACTAGAGGGATGGCGCTAGTGAAGAGCAAGTCCGCGCAGAAGAGGTTGAGCACCAGGCTGACTGTCGCCCCGCGGCGCCGACAGCGCGCCACGAGCACCAGGGCACATGCGTTGCCCAGTAGTGACACCACGAAGATGAGTCCCAGGACGGTGGTCTCCACGACGCTCAGCACTAGCCGGTGGTCGCCCTTGACATCGGAGAAGAAAGGGAAATGGGTACGATTGACTTGGTCCAGGGTGCGCGAGGGGCCAGTGCCCGTCGTCTGCGCAGACTCAGGGGACATGCCGGGCGCCCGGCCGCCCGCCGCAGTCTGCGAGAGCGCTCATCTGCGAGGTAACTGAGTGCCAAGGCGGGGGAAGAGGGAGGGAGGAGGTTGCGACACCTCCCCTCTGGCCCCCTCCCGCCTGAGTTGCCCAGGCACTGGGCGTAGAAGCTGCGTCCAGGGCGCACCGGAACGAGGAAGTGCCTGGCAACACTGGCTTGAACACTGTGGGCGGGGGATGTGGCCACCAAGGCCTCAGACCCTTGGGCAGTCTGAGAGCTCTTAAGCCTCCCTCCCCCAGTACAGCCTTCTTCACCTTTCATGGACAGATTATTGGGAGCCCCTTTATCCACCCACCTGTTTAGCTACCCTTGATTGAAGAGTGTCAGAGTTGAACTTTGGAAATGGTGTGGACCTGTGTGGTTCAAAACGCTCTAAAGCAACTTGTAAAGGGCCGGGATTTATTTGATTTTAGAGTGAGTTAATCTCTGTATATCGGTTTGTTTGTTTTCATTGGTAAAATAGGAATTACTTGGCCTGAGAGTTTGGATCCTTAGTAGAGCCTATACCTAGCACTTATGAGACCCTTATTTGATAACCAGCATGGAAATGCAGGGAGGAGGGAGGGGGGAGGGAGAGGGGGAGGGGGGGGAGGGGAGGGAAAGAGGTCCGGTGCACAATCAAGCTGTAAATGTGCCTCAGGCACAGGGCAGTCTGACTCTGTTAGAGGAGAAAACAGCCTCAGCAAGAATGACTTATCCAAGGTGGCCTTTGGTGACTCATATAAAATCTCAGTCCCTCAGCTTCCTCCTTGCCACCATACCACCTACAACGCTTTCTAGTTTCCTTCTCTAGAAAATGAGGTAATTGGAGAATTAAAAGTGTGCTTGGGGCTTGAGGTCTAGACACCACTTCTCCTCTAAGAACTCCAGTCACCTATGACCTCATGCCCTCTCCCTTTACCACACTCCCAGGCCTCTCCCTCTGCCCATTGTGCCTGGTGGTTGTCTCTGTGTGATTATGAAGAACAGCGTGTGCCTGTTTGACGCGGTGTCTGGAAATGCATGCATTTGTGCCTCTGCTTATCACCCACGTGCGAGTACACAGTGTGACTTCTAACGTGAGGTGCAGATCCCATGTCAGTGGGAGAGGCTCAGCTCGGGCTTTGACTAGCTTCGAGCTGGAAAGTAGAACCAGGTGGATTTGGGACACGGTTGAAAAAAGGCAAAAAGATTGAACTAAAGGAGCCTCAGAGATGGGATTTTGGAAACTGTCTGATTGGGGTCAAGAGATACTAGTTCTGTGCAGAGAGGAGGGGTGAAAGAGAGGGAGGGAGGGAGAGAAAGAGCAGAGTGGACAATTGTAAGGGACACTTTCATGTTCTGTATCATAAAGACACACGTGCACTCTGTATTGTAAAAAGGAATTATTCTGGATTAACTACCCCAGCCCAGATGCCCCTGGAGGAGTTCAAGATTGATACTAGCAGACACTAGACTCAGCATTTCACCAAGTGCCTGAGCCCAAACAGTCCCAGAATGAGGAAGGAGTTCAAGACATAACCAGAAAAGCACAGACATCACAGTTCCCAGGATTGTGGCTGACTACCTGACCAGAGGGGCAAAACTGGGCTTTGTCACACACACACACACACACACACACACACACACACACACACACACACACACACACCGATATAATCTGCTGACCAGAGGTAGAATTATCCAACACATCTCTAGGATGTTCCTCTGCTGTCTTCTCAGACTGCCAGCTTTAGAGGATGCTAATCCTATCCCTCCTCTCTGGAATCTGCAAGTCTAACTAACCAACTAGGGCAGCAGGGCTGGCCTAGAAGGACTTCACTATCAACGCCCTCTGGGGTTTCACCAGTGGCAAAATGATGTGGCCAGAGACTCCTAAGCCTTCTCCATTCGTATCACCTTTGAGTGCCCCTAGACTAAAGACCCACTTGATCCAAGACTGCATGTCCTACTACAGTGACAACTTCCTGGAATAGGTGTACCTTTGCAGCCCTGACCAGCTTTTCAAAGTCAGGCATCAGGTTGGGCGCCACCTGCCTCTTTTCTCCTACATAATGATTTCTGTGCACCATCTGCTCTTTATCACAGTAACCCCTGAACACCCTGCTTCCTAAAGATGTGTAAGCCTAAGGTTAGTAACCTAGAGCTTCCCTGGGGCTAGTGGTGTGTGCAGAATATAACATAACTACTTCCCTCAGATGCCTGAGCACCAGTGGTCACTGGTTAAGAACACGGGCTTCGAAACTAGTCTGCTGGGACCACGATCCTGACCATACAATTCACAGAGTGATTTTGGACTTCTTCATCCTTCAGTGTTCCCACATATGAAAAGGGGGTGATGACAGCAGTTTGGGAAGATCAAATGAAGTTTCTATGTATGATGTATTTTGCAAAATAGTCACACAGGGGATATCAGGTTCAGCTCTTTGCTCAACACAGTATATGGACTTATGAACCGATGAGCCCACTCACTTTGCTAACAGTCTCGATCTCTGAAATTATTATTTGAAACCCTTCCACTCGCGAGTTACTCAGGCTTGGAAGATAAATTGCCCTGGTTTGCAGCCTACTGTGGTGATTTGAATGAGAATGGCTTCCGTAGGCTCATACATTTGAATGTGTGGGTCCCAGATGGTGGAACTATTTGGGAAGGATTAGGAGGTGTGACTTTGGAGGAGGTGTGTCACTGAGGGTGGGCTTTAAGATTTCAAAAGTACAGGACATTTTCCAGCGTCTCTTTCTCTGCCTTGTAATTGTGTCTCAACATGTGAGCTCTCAGCTACTGCTCCAGTGCCATGCCTGCCTGCCTGCTGCCATGCTCCCCACCATGATGGTCATGAACGAACCCTCTGAAACTGTAAGCAAGACCCCCAACAAAATCTTTCTTTTGGAAGTCGTCTTGGTCATGGTTTCTCTTCACAGCAGTAGAAGAGGAAGATACTTACCTATAAAAATCACCTTACCTTTATGCTTATTAACACATTTGAGTTTCCTGCACGTTGAGGCACTGTGCTTGGAATCATAGCAGTGTGACTCCCAGAATCCTTACTTCATCACACTAGAGTGGTGTTGCCTAATACACCACTGGGTGTATTAGTCCATGTTCAGTTGCTGTAATGAAGTACTGAGACTGGGTACTTGAGCTTGGTTGTAAAGACTGGAAGACCAAGGCCAGGCTGTCCCATCTGTCCAGCCTCTGGTGAGGTCCTCATAGTGGATGGCGATGGCAGGATTGATTTCAGAAGATGTCACATGGCAAGGCCAGAAGCCAGAGCCGTTCTGTAGTGGGGCTTGAACTTTTACAACTCACTCTCACAGGAACAAACTGGGGGTCCCACAACAACTTCCCAGGGCAGTATCCCCAATGGCCAATCACTTTCCGTTCTTAAAGGTTCCAAAGGCTCACCAAGGCCCCAACACATGAAACTTCGGAGAACACAATGAAACTATATCACAATGATAGCACCAGGGCTGGAGAGATGGCTCAGCAATTCAGAGCACTGACTTCTTTTCCAGAAGACCCGGGTTCAATTCCCAGCACCCACATGGCAGCTAACAACGGTTCTGTAACTCCAAGATCTGACACCTTCACACATACATGCAGGCAAAACATCAATGTAAATAAAATAAAAATAAAAAAGTTATTAAAAAAACAAAACAAAAAACAAAGTCCATAGCACCAGGATGCTTGGTGCCACGTTTTTGTTGTTGCAACTCGTGTGTGTGTGTGTGTGTGTGTGTGTGTGTGTGTGTGTGTGTGTGTTACTGGCTTCTAGGGGGATGGAAGCCAGTGATGCCACTGACTGTCCTACAAGGCACAGGAAGGTCCCCACAACAAATAACTATCTACACCCAGCTCTTGGGAGACTGAAGCACTGTGATTGTTGAGTTCAAGGCCAGCCTGGGCCTCTCTCCAGTTGGTGAGAGAGGTGGTAATGCTGAGGTCAAGAAATCTTAGTCTCTTGAAACTTGACAAGAGTACTTCTTCCTACTCTCTGCCCTGTGGTAGAGTCACATTTAGTTATGAAAGCCTAATGTGTTTGTCATTTCTGTCATAGAGGTTTCACTACCAGCTCTGGAAACCCTTAGCGAACCAGCTGAGGCTTGATGTGTGCTATGGCACCAGACTTCCACGCTGTGAATCCCCTTCATCCACCCAGCTATGTAGAGTCATCGGGGCATCTACACCTTCCGTAGACACCCAACCAGGAAACCGTGGGCTGAAAGTCAGCTGATTGCTCCTGGCCATTAATTACTATTAGCATGCTCTTTTGCCTCTTCCTCTCTCGGGTGGAACCATGGAAACAAGACAGGGGCCCACCAAAGGTAAATATGGACAGTAGGTTTCTGAGCTAAAGGAAAGTCCAGCATTGTGGATGATTTTGTCCCTCTTGGCCTCACATTTTCAACAAAGCTGGGGGGCGGGGGAAGGTGGGGGCAGAGAGGACTTTTTCTTTGCGTAGTTTTATTTCTCTTCTTGCAAAAAATGTTATCAAGTTCACATGGCAATGCTTACTGCTCTATCTATCACTATCTTTCTCACCTCGCATGCTTTCATCAAGTGTCAAGGGTGCTCTCCCTGTCTACACTTGCTTCCTGTGCTATTATTTGAGTTTGAATACCACTCAGAGCCTTGTCCATCGGAGATCTCTTAGGTTCCTTGAAGAAAGCACAGTGAACACTGGAGAGTAGGGGACCTGGGGACGCATCCCAGGTGCTAGAGTGCTTGCCTGGCACGCAGGAGGCCCTGGGTACAATCCGAGCATGGCTAAAACCAGACGTGGTGGCACACACCTGTGTCTCAGCCTTTTGAGAAGGGGAGGCATGAGGATCAGGATATCAGGGTCACCTTCTGACTACATAATGAGGTCAAGGCTGTATATGAGACCCTGTCTCAAAACATAAAAGCCAAAGTAAATTTCCCGAATGGAAGAGGCAGGAGGAACCTTCTAAAGAGTGCGAGATGCCCACCCCACCCCACCCCACCCCACCCCCGTCTCCACTCAGGGGCTTGGAATCCTATCCTGAGAAGATGGGGCAACAGAGGTAGGAGGGAAAGGAAAGTGTTTTTGGGGGGCGAGGGTTGGGGGTGGGGGACCACACACTCTGCCTGCTGCTCTGCAGTAGATCCTGACTGCAAGAGGAGAGACAATAGATGGCAGCTTGGAACCACCCAGGAAAGGAAAGGTACACAAGGTGATGCTCCTCCATGCCTCAGGCCCGTGACATGCCTCAGGCCCGTGAACTTAGACCTAAAGCTAAAGGAAAGAGGTAGAAACTGAAACACGCAGAGGCTAAACCCAAAGTGATGAGCTGCCTCTTTCTGAATTATTCACAAGTGAGAGGCCAGGGCAGGGATGTGAAGCACAGTGGTCACAGCTAGCCCACCACCTTTCCATTAAACACAGAACCTGCTCCGAGCAGGCCTGTGAGGAGGAGGCATCGCCTCTTCAGAGTTAACACAGCCAAGGCTCCGGGGTTGGCAAGCAGGACCTAGCTGGGTTTAAGCCTCTACAAACAGCCCGAGGTTGCTATTTTCTGCAAGGTATAGCCTGCATACTGGAGAGAGGTAACTCTGCCTTCTTGCTGTTGGGTTTTGTCCAAACTCTCCAATATCATTCTACTCTGTCACACCTGGGTACCAGGTGGGCAAGGGCCCTGTGTGTGTCCCACTGACCTGACTGGGGTATTTCCCCAGGCTCATTGTTGTAGGCATCTCACTGAGGAGATAAAGAAAGGAGAGCAAGGACCAACCCTTTAGCAACCATAAGGATTGAGATGGCCCCCCTCTGGACAGTCCCGCCTGACCCCCATCATGGAGTCCTGGTGTGACTCAGCATTACCTCCCTTGGGATAGAAAGGGTTAGGACCAATCCAAAGAGGCTGCTGCTACTCTCAAGAGGCCCCAAAAGTCAATAAAGGGGAGCAACCTCCGTTGCTGAGGTGACTGTAGGGAGAGGGAACTGAGGAGCGGGCCAGGAAGGCAAATAAAACAGTAACCGTAGTAACAAGAATAGTATGAATGGCCTTCGCTCAGGTGTCATGACCTTGTATGTGCCTGGCAGTCTCAAGCACGTCCTTGCGTTATTTCATTCAGTGTTCACTACAGTCCTGAAAGTGTGCTGGTTATGAAGCACGGTTGCTCACTGGGAACAGGAGGGAGACCCAAAGTCCCAGCCTCAACTGTGAAGCTGTTTGCATTTGAGACCTGCAGGGAAAGGGAAAATCAGTTTTCTCTACTCCAAATCCAGAGTGTCCCCGGGTCTATCAGCCATACTTGGCAGGTCCCATGCCCAAGATGACAAAAATGAACTCCATTTTTGTGTGTGTGTGCTTTTTGTTTGATTTTAGTATTGTTTTTGTCTTATTGAGTTTTTATTTGTTTGGTTTTTGATTGCTGTTTTGTCTTTTGTTTTTTTGGGTTTTGTTTTTTTTTTTTTTGAGAGAGAGGGAGAAAGCATGAAGTTGGATTGGTAGGGTTTGGGAGGAGCTTGGGGAAGAGGAAAAATATGATCAAACTATATTGTATAAAAAAATTTAAATAAATTTTTAAAAATTAAAGGATAAACACAGCAGCTGGAAGTCGAGGCTTATCCTGAGACATGACCAGTGCTCGGACTCTGCCTTTCATGAAAATATGCATATGTATATGGAGATAAAATTATTAATCATACAAATTAAGGGAATTGGGCCTTTGCATATTTAAGGCTGTGTTGTATGCATGCATGCATGCCTGGTGTATGAGATGTGTGTGTGCGCAAGTGTGCACACTGTGCATGTGCTCACAGGGGCTAGAGGAGAACATGCAGTTTCCTCCTCCTCTATCACTCTCCACCTTATTCCTTTCGAACAGAGTCTCTCACTGAACCAGTTCAGCTGGCATCCAGCAAGCCCCAGGAATCCTCCTGTCTGTGCCCCACAGCACTGAGGTCACAGGCATGTGCATCCATACCTGACTTTTTAAATGGGCACTAGGGATTTGAACTTAGATCTTCATGTTTACATAGCAACTATTCTTATCCACTAAGCCATCTCTTCAGGCTATTTGTTTGTTTTGTAAGATTTCACTATGTAGCCCAGCCTGGCCTTGAATCTGTTATCATCCTGTCTTGGCCTCCATACTCTGCAACCAGTGCTGAAATTACAAGCATGAGCCACCGCCCCTAGGTGGGAATAGATTTACTGAAATAAGAAATCTGTCTTTGGGGAAAACAAAGTCTCTCTCTCTCTCTCTCTCTCTCTCTCTCTCTCTCTCTCTCTCTCTCTCTCTCTCTCTCTCTCACACACACACACACACACACACACACACACACACACACACACACACACACCTTGGAGAGTGGGACCCATTCTCTGTGGCTACTTGGGACTACTGTGAAAGTAGTTCATTTGGGAAAAACTGAGTCCTTCTGTCAACAATACCAAACTTGCTGGCCATGAGGACTGAGATGGCCCCCACTGGACAGCCACGCCTGACCACTGTCAGTGAAGTCCTGCTGTGACTGATCTCTGCCTCACCTGGGTGTATAAAGGGTTAGGACCAATCCAAAGAGGCTGCTGCCACTCTCAGGAGGTAGGTCCTTTTTGGAAACAGATCCCCCAGCCTCGACAGAGCCTTCAGATGATCAACACCTGACTGAAGCTTGTATGAAGTCTCAGTGTTAGCTGGGCATGGTGGCACATGCCTTTAATCCCAGCACTTGGGAGGCACAGGCAGGCAGATCTCTGCAAGTTCGAGGCCAACCTGGTATACAAAGTGAGTTCCAGGACAGCCAGAGCTGTTACACAGAGAAACCCTGTCTATAAATAAATAAATAAATGAATAAATAAATAAATAAATGAAAAATAAAAAAATAAAAAGAAAAGAAAAAGAAAAAAGTCTCAGTGTCCTGCTAAGCCATTCCCAAACACCTGACCCACAGAAATGAAGGTAATGAATGTTTATTATTAGCTTAAGCTATCAGACCTGGGGAGGAATTTGTTGCACAGAAATAAAGGATTAGTGCAAGCTGGTGTTTTCATTATCCTCCTTTTGCAGATGTGGAACTGAGGCTATGGGATTTGCCTAAGGTCCTGCGATTTATGATCTGAACCTGAGCAGCCTGGCTCCAAGGTCATGTCAAGACTCAGAATTGTAAGACAGCAGGTTCTGTGTGGGAAGAAGGGCTCAGCCTGTGGCTGGGTGACTGCTGGGTGGCTCTCCAGTCCCCTTGCCTGGGCTCTCCAGTCTCCCTGTCCCAACTGGGAAGCTCTCCAGTGCACCTCTCTCCTGCTGGGACTGGCCGGAAATAATCTGGTCACCAAAAAAACAGATCAACAGATAACTTAACCACCTTTCATTTTCTTCTAATGAGGGCTAGCCTTTCCCAACACAGGAGCCTCCATTTGCTCCTTCCACAGAAAGATACAAATCCCCCAATACAAACTTTTTAACTCAGGAAGGGCAATTCCTTTCCACTTAAATGGCAACTTTTCTCTGTAGGCTTCTCTTGGCTCAGAGCCACACGGCTCACCTAGTGGGAAAGAGGTTCATGCAGCACACACTGCTTAAGCACGTACTGCCTGCCACCAGTGCCAGGACCACAAAGATGACAGGTGAGTGACGCCAGAGCAAGCCCAAAAGAGCAGGCTACAGTCCAAGACCCATTGGAACTGTGCGTGTCCCAGGGAGACCATGGGCCAAGGTCTTGCACATGATTGCATAATTCCTCTTGCATTACTTTTTTCTTTTTCCCTTTCTTGGCTTCTTTATTTATTCGGTTTCCAATTACAAAATATAAGAAGTTACCTCAGGAAAAAAAATAATAAAGTTATCCATTCTTCTATGCAGAGATAGCCCTGTGGGATTTTGCTGTAAAAGATGGAGATATTTGTTCTGTTCTGTGGGGCTGTCTACATGGATAAGAGTCTTGTACACAATGGAGATCACACACCTTTATTGTAGCATGCTGCTGTGATTTAATCTGACCCTAAAAGGTCATGTGCGAGATGAACTGTATTGGTTCACCTTCCTATTCCTGTGGGGGTGCTATTTGAATATGGGGTGTTTAGAAGTGATTGGGATTGGGTGAAGTCTACAGGTGGGCCCCGGTCATGGCTGCAGTAGACTTACAAGAAAAGAACACCCCAAAGCATTTATTCTGTCTCTCCAGACATCCTCCACCATGTCGTGCTGTTATTCAGCAAAAAAGTCCTCCTCAAATGCTAGAACCAAGACTCATAAACTATACAAACCCTATTCTTTATAAATCACCGATACTCGCCGGGCGGTGGTGGCGCACGCCTTTAGTCCCAGCACTCGGGAGGCAGAGCCAGGCGGATCTCTGTGAGTTCGAGGCCAGCCTGGTCTCCAAAGCGAGTTCCAGGAAAGGCGCAAAGCTACACAGAGAAACCCTGTCTCGAAAAACCAAAAAAATAAAATAAATAAATAAATAAATAAATAAATAAATCACCGATACTCAAGTATTTTGATGTAGTAACAGAAAATAGATGAAGACACATGGGGTCGAAAGCTTCTTTGTCCAGAGTATTGTTTTTCTATTCTATCCTTTAGTCCCCTCAATGCTTAGCTTTTCTCCTAGGGCATGGCTGCTAGGCAAAGGGACACATCCTCCAGCACTGACTCTCAGACACCAGTTACTGCTTGCCTCTGTTTCTTGTGTCTAAAGTGAGAAGGAAATAATAAAGACCAGGCAGTTTTCCCCAAGACTACAACACCACATCCACTTCTTATGTCCTGACTATTTGTTAAAGACAGGATGTTTGTGTCAGTCAGAGAAAAGGGGAGATAAGAAGAGGGAGAGAAAGAGAAAGAAATCTTACACTTTTTTTAGAGAGTGGCGATCTCGCGTGAGTTCCAAGATTGTACTTTGTTTTCAGAGCTGCGCTATGTAGCTCAGGTTGGCCTTGCGCTTGTGACAACCTTCCTGTTTCAGCTCCCAAGTGCTGGGATAACGTGTGTGAGCTGTAGCGCACAGCTGAGTTACTGAGATTTAGAGTAGACACATATTACCCAGACCTGTGAAGTCTCAAGACCAGGAGTGACAGCTTGAGGCCGTCTCAGGCCTCATCAGCCTTGCACTCGGTGGTGGGAGTACTCTTACTTACACAAGGAAAATCCTCAGAATTAAAAACCCTTTCTCTGGGGCTGGGGGTGTGGCTCAGTAGTAGAGCACTTGCCAGCATGTGTGAAGTCTTGAGTTTGATCCCAGGCACCACAAAAAAAATATTAAAAAAAATAAATAAATGAAACCCTTTCCCATTTATGTTCTTATCTCCTCCTGTGGACAGCTCTCCGGGCAGGCAGGAAAGACTCTCACTTCACAGATGAAGCGGCGAAGGGCTCAGCATGCCTTGGGGAGATGCTGTAGCTGGCATGGCTTGTCAGGCTCAAAGCCAGCTGACTCATCTGGTTCCTGACTCAGCCCAGTTACCGTGATGGGCCTGCTCTGTGGATCTCCAACTCTGTGGTGATGCTGGGCCCCCCAAAATGGGAAGAGGGGGAACTGAAAACGGGAAAACATTCTGGAATTCTATTCCAGGAGTCAGAAAGTTACCAGGCACTTCCGTGGCAGAACCCCAGGTGGTGGTGGGGCGGGTCTCTGCCTTCCTGCTTGTCCTGTGCCTCTTATGGTTCTGTTCCGAACCGACGCTATGCCTTCTGTGGAGGTTGAGCTCAGTGAGGACCATCTGAACCACAAGGAACATCTTCAGAAGGGTCCGGTCGTGGACAACCAGCCACCTCCAGGTTCTCCCTGTGTCTGTAGCAGACTGATGGTGCTCCCCTGGACAAGGAGCACTGCTTTTCTAGACCTCAGTTTTCTCATCTGTAAGATGGAAATGACTCTGGTTCCCTTACAAGCTTGCGAAAAGATGATAACGCCAGACAATAACGACTTTGGAAGAGGAAGGGTTAATAAAGATTGTGGTTTTCATTATTTTTTTTTAGTATTAAACACATTGTGCATGCTTTAAATATTTTTAAATTTTTAAGTATGTATTTATTATTATTGTATATGTGTGCTGGGGTGGGGCATGCCATAGTCAGTATGTAGGGGTGGCGCACGCCTTTAATCCCAGCACTCGGGAGGCAGAGCCAGGCGGATCTCTGTGAGTTCGAGGCCAGCCTGGGCTACCAAGTGAGTTCCAGGAAAAAGGCGCAAAGCTACACAGAGAAACCCTGTCTCAAAAAACCAAAAAAAAAAAAAAAAAAAAAAAAAAAAAAAAAAAAACCAAAGACAGAGGATAACTTTGCGGAGTCTGTTCTCTCCCTCAACCTTTACATGGGTTCTAAGGATTGAACTCAGGTCACCACACTTGGGTGGCCAGCTGAGCTATCTTCCTGACTCAAAATATTTTTAACTAGTTGAATAATTCAAAGAGTGAATGAAAAGAAAATCAGGTTTTGTGTGTCCTTCAGATGTCTCTTTGTCATAGCCGTCAAGAGGCTGCGGTGAATGAAGATACATGGGGGTGGGAGTGGGGTGGGAGTGGGGAGGTGGGGGGGGCACACAACCACCACCACCACCACCATAGTACTGCTCTTCCCAGTTCCACTACCCTGGGAAAAACACCGGAAGTTGGAAAGCAGTGCTGCAGGGGAAGCCAGTCTGAGGAGACAGACGAGCACTGGATAACGTGGAGATGAACTTGGAAGTGTCAGCCTTCAGGATGTGGGCAGGTGCAGACAAAAGCAGCATTTCCCAACATGAAATCCACTACAAGTGTCACCAATTCGCCAGCTGAGGCTTCTGATAGACTCGGCCATTCTGGACTGTGCTGTTTTATCCTGAGTCCTGGGCTTCTCCCCGGGAGGAGTCCACTGCAGGCAATTTCTCAGCACTATCTGTCCCACAATCTGGATTTCAACTAAGGTAAATCCAATCCTGGTTTTTCGAATTGCTTGTAGGAGCCGGAGAGATGATCCAGCATTTAAGACCACTCACTGCTTTTGCAGAAGACCCAAGTTCCTTTCCCAGCACCCAATCAGACTGCTCACAGCCACCTGTGACTCAAGATCCACGGGGTCTGACACCCTCTGCCGGCCCATTTGGGCATCTGCACACATGTGACGTTCATTCAAAAACACGCATACATATACATAAGAATGAAAAATAAATAAATTTTGTTTTGTTTTTCAAGACAGGGTTTCTCTGTGTGTATTCCTGGCTGTTCTAGAACTTGTTCTGTAGACCAGGTTGGCCTTGAACTCACAGAGATCCACCTGCCTCTGCCTCCCGAGTGCTGGAATTAAAGTTGTGCACTACCACCATCCAGCAGAAATCGTCTTAAAAATTGCTTTCTGTTTGTGTCTTGGGCTTAACATCCACTTTATCTTTGAAGATACTTTGACAAAGGCTCTAAAGCCTGTGCTTTGCTGGCTTCTAACAGGGCCTCAGGGAAGCCAGAGGGTTGAAATCCTAAGGGAGAAGGGGTAATAAGTCAGACCCAAACTTCTCTGCCTCAGAGGTGCAGGGAATATCTGCCCCACAGGCCTGGCACATCTTTGAAGGTGTTTCACTATTTCATTTAACAGGTAGGGGGTTGGGCGCGGGGGGTGGGGGGGTGGGGGGGGTGGTTCATCCTCATCTAGGGCACCTAACAAGTAAGTCATAGGAAGGGTGGCTGGGTGGTGCTTGGAGCAGGGGTCTGGACTTAGGAAAAGTGACAGTTAAATAAGGGGACAGGGTTTCCTGCTGTTGGTAGTGGCTTGAATGAATTCCCGGGGGACCTGAGAAAGGGACCTAGACCCAGGTTATATGCCTACTTCATGTATGTATGCACACATAATACAGATACTTGTCTGTGGGATGTATATCATACTTCAAATGTCTCTTGAAGGTGCAAGTCAACACTAGCTCCTCCATCCCCTTACAACATGGCCTCTTTCCTGAACTTAGCCCATCAGACATTGTGAGAGATGGACATTTCAGGAGAATGAGGAAGCTAGGTGTGTAGAGAAGCAAAGGATGGGAATCACAGACACCCGCCGTTGTGGGCTGCTGGTATCCAGAAGTGCAACACCAGCAACAGGTGTGTGCGTTAGAACAGCCCCAGCGTGTAGACACTGTTTCCGGCTGGGGGATCTCCGGGACCAGTTCTCTAGTCCTCCCACTGGAGAGTCGATGAACTACAGAATGTCCTTTTTTGTTAAGCCAGCCAGAGTGTGTTCCTCTGCATGCGTGTGGGAGCTCACATCCACTTCAGTCCTGCTGTGCTAACATCTGGCTGAGCTTCAGACAGAGCCTTGAGAGGCTTGGCTTCATCACACCCTTGACGCCCTGCTCAAACAGCCGATCTTCACTGAGCAGGTCCCCAGTGCCAGTTCCGTGTCCTCTATTTCTACAGCCAACGCAAGGCAAGGCGGAGGCTCTGAGGCCAGCCTAACTCTCCCCTAGATTACTCTCTCTCCTTCTCTCCAGTCTGTATTGCAAAACCAGCTGTTTCTGTGCTGCCAACCGCGGCAGCTCCCTCCTCCATGCCCAGTCCTCCAGCTGTTTCTAATGACTGCTGACATAGTGGCTTGGGCCCCCGCCCCCCCCCCCCCCCCACCGCCGGATCCAGCACCACCTGGAACCCTGAGAGGGTGAGCGTGTGTGTTCGTGCATGTATGCATGCGCATATATGTGAGAAAGGTGGGGTTGGTGACTCCAAAGCCGTAAATTCTGGACTCGCAGCTTGCCGGTGGACTCATTAACCACTTTTCTCACGCTCTGGGCTCTGCTTTGCCTTTACTTTTTCTTTTTTAGAAAGGAACATTTCCCAGAATTCAGCTTTCCCTGAGGCCTTAGAAGCGATGGGTGGCATTTACTGATCCCTCAGTGCCCGATAAGCTCCGTGCTTATCATGACAATACTGATTCATGCAAGTGTCCCAGCCTGTGCGGAAGCTGAGTGTTATTATCACCCTCAGTCTGGAGAGAAAACTGAGGTCGCAGACTATATTTCTCAGAAAGTATGTGGTTGATAGCTAACAGGAATTCCACAACACCAACAAAATCAAACCAGGAAAAAAAAAAGAGGGAGAAAAGCAAGAAGAATGGTGAGAAATGAAGGAAGGGGGGGTGGGGGGGGAGTAAAGATGTCTCATAAGCACAAGCAAACACAAAGTCCAAGGGGCGGATCTACTCGAGCACATCTGGACTGAGCTATCCAAAGACATGGCTGGGTGTCACCCTGTTTCCTCCTCTGCACTGGCTTTCTGTCAACACCCTGTCCTACAGGGGAAGGGAAGCCACCGCCCCAAACTCTTTACTGACGTTGCTGGCAGGATTCCAAGGCAGGCTCTTAATGGCGGCGCTGGAGTCTCCCACATCTGGAATCTGGACAGAGACCGAGGATGGGGGGCTTCCAGTGCTGACACCACCAAAGGATGGAGCGGTGGACTCTGGGTAGCTAGAGTAGCAGGGAGGCAGGCAGCTGGCACATGAGGAGATGAAGTGGCATGGCAAATGGACTCTCCAAATCCAAAAGTAAACACCAGCCCGCAGTCTGCTGTGATGGCATCTGAGGGCCGTGAAGGGCCCCGGAGAGTGACTGTCCCCAGCTGCCAGTAATTAGCCAGGTTAGCTTTACAGACTTATGGGAACGACACTGTGGTCCAATCTTCTGGGGCTGTAGAAATCAAATTAGACCTTGAATTAAAAAGCATTTGGAAGCCGGGCAGTGGTGGCGCAGGCCTTTAATCCCAGCACTCGGGAGGCAGAGCTAGATGGATCTCTGTGAGTTCGAGGCCAGCCTGGGCTACCAAGTGAGTTCCAGGAAAGGGGCAAAGTTACACAGAGAAACCCTGTCTCGAAAAACCAAAAAAAAAAAAAAAAAAAAAAAAAAAAAAAAAAAAAAAAAAAAAAAATCTGACCTTTTTCAATAAATAAATAAATCAGACAAAAACTTCCATCAAAAGTAATACCTGGGCCTATGAGATGGCTCCCTGGGTAAAAGTACCTACTGCACAGATCTGATGACCTGAATTTGATTCCAAGATCCCTGAGTGGAAGGAGAAACCTGACACATACACAAATAATGACAGTAATGGTAACATCTGTTATGTACCATTTGAAAATATAAAGAAGAAAAAGAAAACAATGAAATGAAAGAAGCACCACTCAGAATCCCCCATTCTGAGATGAATATTATTACTATTTTCTCCCCCTTTTTTATTTGGACTTATCTTCTGCATAGGATGATAATGTGAGTGTGTTAATAAAAAAGAGGGTAGAGGGCTGGAGGGATAGCTCAGGGGTTCAGAGCACTGGCTGTTCTTCCAGAGGACTGGGGTTCAATCCCCAGCACCCACATGGCAGCTCACAACTGTCTGTAACTCCAATCCAGGGGATCTGACACCTTCACACCAATGCACATAAAATAAATTTAATAAATTATAAAAAAATTTTAAAAGAGGGTAATATCATATTCTTTCAAAATTCTCCTTTTTCCCTATAAACAACACTGTAATCATTTATGTGTAGAGCTAAATATTTTTTCTACAGCATCATTTAAAAAGAGTATTCTTTCATGGCTTAGCGAAACCCTTCTTACTAGACATTTAAGCTTTCTTGCTTGTTTTATTTTATCTATTTTGTTTTTGAGACAGGGTCCCTTCCATACATGACTAAGCTGGTCTCTGAATTGCTAGGTAGCTGAGGCTGGCCTTGAACTCCTGACCCTCCTGCTTCTACTCCCCAGTGCTGAGAGTACAGGAATGTACCACCATGCCAGACTTAGATGCTTAATTATTTCTGATTTTTAACTTTAATTTTAATTTTTATATTTAAACAGGGTCTCATTAAGTAGTCCTGGCTGAGCAGAAGCTTGTTATGGTCTTGAACTTAAAGGTGTACATTACCTTCCCAGGCTACTAATTTTTAAATCCTAGAAAAAGTCTTAGAAAGCACATAGCAATAGCTGAATATTTCTGGATATTTGTATAAAGGATGGATCCATATAAAAATATTTTCCTTAGAAAATTTTCTGGATGTGAATTTCCCAGCTAAACTTCACAGCTTTTAGTATCTATAGCACATCTGGAAATTTGCACAAATCGTACCCTGGCAAGTGGTGGATGTATGTCGGTTTCTCAGCGTTGAGACGTTTACCACTGCGCTATCCTTTATGTTTTAAA